ATAACGTAATCTCAAATGACATGCCATTTTTGTTGAGCTCACAGGCAAACCCTGATACAGTGTGGGAAGGGACTACACAAGGATGTGAATGTCAGGAAGTGGGGGCCACTCGGGGCCATCTTGCAGGCTGGCTACCACAGTCGCACACCTATTACTTTGCGTCATCAAGATTCAAACTCAAGTCTCTTGAACCCCAGAGGCTGTACTCTTAAACACTGCTGTGATAAGTGACAGAGGAAAGATTTGTACAGGATAGCTAATGCCGACTGGGGCATCAGAGAAGATATTAGAGAAGGTTGCACTTGAGCTGAGTTATGAAGAAATAGTAGGCATTTTCTGTGTGGGGGAATGAGGAGGGACACACCAAGCAGAGCACCAACATGTTCAAAGGCTTGGAGGCTTGAAAGTGTGGTATGTTTGGAGAATACAAAGTAATTCAGGAAGATTAGAGTATGAGGTACATGGAGGAAGAATAGGAGAGTAGTAAAAAGGTTGCTTGAGATTAAGTGGATAAAGGGAAATAGTTGCAGGTAGGAATGACATGATAAGATTGTGTGTTCAGTATATAGAGTTATAGGTATGTATCTGTCCACCCAAAAACTCTCACATCCCAGCCAGTGAACCTGGTCTACACTAAATACTTGAATTCCCTCCTCCCCCTAGTTTCTAAATTTTGGAATTGCCTTATTTTCTCAGTTGCTTTTTCCACCTGCTCTCTAATTGAATGTCCTGAGGTTAGGGAAGATAGAGAAGATAATGAGGCATCAAGCTGACAGAGGCTGGGCAGAAGGTCTCACCCTCAAGCCGAATTCACTTTCTTCATTTCTATCCATGGGCATATTTCCAGATCTTCTTTTCCCCCTTCCAATCCTCTTTCCAGTTTTGGCATTTGGAGCATCAAGTCCTTTTTAGGTGAACTTATCTGCTCCCAGCTGGGCATCAGGCCAGGTTGTTGCTCTACTTCTCATTATGTACTGCTTTTCAGCAGCATATAGCAGAATGAGAAGTTGAAAGCAAAATGAATTTCTACCATTTAAGATAAGTGTATAATCTTCTTGGTGAAATATGAAGAAATACGGAGTTTGGAAAGACTTAATACTCAAAGCCAGAATCTGGGTCAGAATTGAAATAATTTTACATCTGTATATGAATGCTGTAGGTAAAGTAGTAATGGGGGAAGGTGTTTATGAGAGGGGTGGGGAGAGAGGAAGGAAGGAAGGAAGGAAGGGAGAGAGAGAAAGAGGTGGGAAAACCCAACCAATTAATTTCCATTACTGGCTGTACTCCATGATTCTTGCTGCCACTCCCACTGTTGCTATAGGATTTGAGAGTGAGGGGAAATAATCTCTGAGGAGAGTAAACTCTTTTTTAAGTTACTCTTGCAGAGAAGACTTGAACTTTTTCTAAGTCAGAGAGTCCGGAATCTGTGGGTAGGCACCAGAAGAAAGTAGAGACTTCAGCAGACTTCAGCAAGAAAATTTCAGAATAAAGTAGAAGTGTCTTGTGTTGAAATAGGAAGCCACTATATGCATAAAAGAAATGCTCCAAGAAACAGTAAATTTTAAGTCATTTAGCTAGTATATAATTTTAAGATTATAGCAGTTAAAACTTTCATTCTGCATGGTAGTGTAAGTTGAGACCACAAGGCTAATGCTATCACTTTTTAGGTGGCTGCAGAGGCAGAAACAGAGCCTAGGAACAGTGCAGGAGTGATATCGATAGCCTTTAACCAAAGCAGAGGGTGGTGGCAGCAGGGGTGGGGTCACTGGTAGTAAGTATGTCACTGCTCCTGCGTGGTGGCTCAGTGTTGGGATGGCATTGTCAAAGAGCCAAGGTGTAGGGTGTCTACATTCAGGCCACGTGAGAAATGCTGGCATCCAGGAACATACAATGCATGGGTGGTCATGCACCAGCATTATCCAGCCACCCTTGCTGGATACAACATAGCTTTCAGCACCAAGGACCTAATGACTATCAATTTAATGGGGAAATTGATAGGAGAGTTTGTATATTCCTAAGTTAAATCCTAGTTTGAACAAGGGCATCCTGTAACTAGTGACAACTGCCATCAGGAGATCACACCACAATTTCTAAAAAACAACAAATGATTTGGAAACTGTTAGGATGATTTATACTACAATTTATATCTCTTGGTAAGTAATTTTGATAACAGTTTAGTTTATTTAGAGAATAAAAAGGAATTATTTTAAAATTTGATGTATTGATTTATATCTTAATTTATATTTCTGTATGGTTTGTAAAATATTTCTAGTATCACTCTTGAAGATACTGGAGTCTTTTAACAGAGATCCGTTACATAGTCCTCATAAAATCCTGACTGAAAGACACATACAAGGCCATTTAGAGGAACAGGGAACAGGAAGAACAGAGAGAGATCTCGATAAGGGGACAAGTAGAGTAGGCTTGTAAGGTAGCTTTGGGCCTCTGTTTCCACCCTCCACCCCTTCCCAATCTACTTTCTGTATAAATTTGCCGATTCTGGATGTTATCTATAAGTGAAATTATATAATATGTGAGCATTAGTGACTGACTTTTACTTGGCCTAATGTTTTCAGGTTTCATCTATATCGTAGCATGTATTAGTACTTCCTTCCTTTTTATGGCTAATTAATAATAATATGAATGTATGGCATCATTTTATTTATTCATTCATCAGTTGATAGACATTTGGGTTGTTTATACCTTTGGCTATTATGAATAATGCTGCTATGAACATTTACGTAAAAGTTTTTGTATGGATGCGTGTTTCATTTTTCTTGTGTATATACCTAGTGGAATTGGTAGGTCGTATAGTAACTCTATGTTTAACATTTTGAAGAACTTCAAAATGGTTGTACTATTTTACATTTCCACCAGCAATATATGAGTGTTCCAATTTTTCTACATCCTCACCAAAGCCAAGGTTTTTGTTTTTGCTTGGACTCTTCCCCTTTTTGACAAAAGTAGAAGGAACATTAACTTGTTTTAAGAAATTACCGTGTAAAACCTTGAGAAATTAGATTATTGGTTCATAGGTTAGCTTACTAGTTATCTCCATATTATTCTCATGATATGCTCATTTTTCTAGACCCCCATTACCAAGGACTTATAAGCAGAATTGCAGTGGGATGAGCACTTTGAAGAGTTTTGAGAAATGCATACATCCTTGTAACAACTATCCCAGTCAGGATAGAAAGCATTTCTAGTCCCTAAAAAGTTCCTTTGTGCCCTTTTAAGAGGACGTTGAAATTTTTTAAAATGAATTTGCTTTAACTGGTGGATTTCTTACTGTAAAAGTAATATGTAGTTGTAGAAAATTTGGAGAAAACAGAAAAAAAGAAAGAACAGAATTCACCTATCATTCTACCACTGAAAAAAGGCAACCACTGTTATCATCAAAATTAACTTTTTTCCTATGCATTTGAAAATAGTTGTGACCGTTATCATATATTAATAGTATACAATTTTGCATGTTGTTTTATCACTTTAACATAAATATCTTTTTGTGTTGTAAAAATTGTTCACGATTGTACTTTTTAAGAGCTTCATGGGGTTCCTTATTTGGATGTGTATTAGTCTGCGTGGGCTGCCATAATAAAAACCACATATTGGGTGGCTTAAACAACAGATATTTATTTTCTCACAGTTCTGGAGGCTGGAAGTCCAAGATCAAGGTACTAGCACCCTTGGTTTCTCCGGAGGCCTCTCTCCTTGACTTATAGATGGCCGCCTTCTTGCGTGTCCTCATATAGCCGTTCCTATCTGTGGGAGTGCTCCTGCTGCTCTTTCTCTTCTTTTAAGAAAACCAGCCCTGTCAGATGAGGGCCCCATCTATCGGCCTCATTTAACTTTAATTACCTTCTTAAAGGCCTTATTTCCAAATATAGTCCCATTGGGGTTAGGGCTTCATCATGAATTTTGGAAGAACATAATTTAGTACATAACATATGCGTAATGATTTACTTGCTATTCTCTCAGCATTGGACATTCTTTCCACAGTTCTTTCCAATTTTCTTGTATTTTGAATAAGATTATAATGAACATATTTTTGTATAAAGCTTTTTTTTTCATTCTGGCTTAAAGCTAAATTCTCTAGAGTGGTGTTAGTGGGTCAAAGGATATAAGCCTTATAGAGATAGCCAAATTGCCTCCTAAAAGGGCTCTTTACCAATTATACTTTCTCTAATAATGTATGAGTGGCTGTTTTGCTCTACTTTTGTCAGCATTGAAATCTATATTAATTTTATATGCAAAAATAATCTTTTTTTTAAGTGAAGCTGAGCATTGTAGAAAAATGTTAACTTTCCTTACTTCACCTCTTCTGAGGGGGCTGGGGGAATTTGTTGACCATTTCCTTTGTCCATCTTTGTTATTAGGGGTGTTATTGTTTTCTTCTTTATCAATTTGTGTAAACATATATATTAAGCATAGTAGTAACCCTTTCGTGTCATTTACTGCAAATGTAATTTCTCATATTGTTTGGCTTTTAATTTTAATGCTTAAAATTTTTTTTCTCAAATGAGATTTGCATTTTTAGGACATAAATATCATCAGTATTTTTCTTTGTACTTTTCGTCCATGGCTTTTTAAGCTTTCAAAGCCCTCCCCCAGTCAGAGATGTAAAAACATTTTTTTTGTTAGATTTATAGTATTTAAAAATGTCTTTCATCTCAACCTACTAACTGTTTATTTGGAAATACTCTCAAACATGTTGTTGGGATGTGACCACTGTTGAATAATCTAGTGATCTAGAACAGTACTGTCCAATAGAAATTTTTGTGATGATAGAATAGTTCTATTTATCTGTGCTGACCAGCATCATAGTCACTAGCCATTTGTGGTTATTGAGTATTTGATATGTGGTTAGTGCAACTGAAGAACTGAATTTTTACTTTAATTTAATGTAAATGAAATTTAAGTTGATAAATTAAATGTAAATTTTATTTAAAATTTAATATACATTAAAAACAAATTTAAATAGAACTAAAGACTTAAGGTCTTTAATGTTGTGATTTTGCATCCTGTGTTTGCAACTTTAAATGACATAGTCTAATTCTGGTCCACTGGTGCATTCTTCCTCCGAGGAAAGATACTCAAGGGAATGGTATTAGTGCCTAATTGATTATTGACATATATGTGGTTATAGCCTCCTTTTCCTATTGATAAGGGGAATTAACACAGGCAGTGTATGTGTGCATGTGTGTGTGTTGGGGGGAGGTTTATCCACCAGAATGCTGCAGATAGAAATTCCTTTCTTTTGCATGTGCATAATTCATACCCAGCATCTTTAGTGGCCTTAGCAAAGGTGCTTCGCTAAAAAAATGGTATTTGTATCCAGTAAGCCATTGAAGGTTATAAAACAAAAAGCAATAAACCAAACAAACTCATAGACACAGACATTAGTGTGGTGGTTATCAGAGGGGAAGGGGGTGACGGAGGGATGAAAAGGGTAAAGAGGGTCAAATAGAAGGAGACTAGACTTTGGGTGGTGAGCACACAGTGCAATATACTGATGATGTATTGTAGATTTGTACACTTGAAACTTACATAATATTATTAACCAATGTCACCCCGATAAATTTAATTTAAAAAAAGAGTATCTGTGGTGAGTTGCCCCATATTCTTTGGCTAATCCAAGTTTTTCTCTTTCTCTTTTACAGACGCTGCATTCAAGTAGTACATAAACTACTTTGCTACCAGAAGAAGTGTAGAGTACGCCTGCATTACACCTGGCGGGAACTCTGGTCAGGTAACTTCCTCTTTTGAATTCATTCTCTTTTCCTGTATCTTTTATGAGTCTTGAGGCCTGGGCACAAGATGAATTTTAAGAAAAGAAACAGTTTGTTTAGGATGCTTCTATTTTCATTATACTTTTTGTCGTTTCAGTCTTGTTCTAGTCCAGACCTGGGTATTCACATAGCTATTCTATACTTCTCGTTTCTTCTGCTCTCCGTATTTTTTTTTTATCAGCTGTTGGAAACAATTGAATATTTCTTGAGTTTCATTGATTCTTCCTTTGAGTAAGAGTGAGGAGTCAGTACAAACTTGGATTCTCCCTTGGTTCCATTTGGTAGCAGCATATGGACTATAGGGAAGTTTCTGTGTGTTTCTTCAAGATGAGTAATCTCAGGAGGAATGTCATAGGGAGAGGAGGTGGGGAGGGGGCGGAGAGATGGGGGGAATCCTGCTCTTTGTGTTAGATCTGGCATTATTACTGTTTACAGACAGTGTCAATTGTACCACTCCCCCTGTGCCAGAGACAAAAACAGCAAATTATAGTGTTTACTTTTTTCTTTGTATCCATTTGGTAGCCCGGGAAAGTCACTGCCACCCCTGCATGCGGGAAGTGGCTCTTCTCTAAGGGTACAATTAAAGCCGGCTTGCCACCCCTTTCTTTTGTGCAATTAAATTGGAGGTTTCAGGAAAGCAGAGGAGACATGTTCCCTGAGGCATTTGCTTGCTGATAGGTCCTGGGGCTTTTGTGACCCGATGGTACAATAAAGTCTTCGCTAGATGATTATAGGGATGTATGGTTGCCCCACCCATGGGAGAGCTTCTTTGTATTCTCAGCAGAGGAGGTGTGTTAATGTCAGAGACTTTATTAGAAATGGGCCACTAACCCCTCCCCCTTCCATAGAATTCATCTCACTTGTTGTGACACGTGGTTTCCTGCCAACCTAATTTGGCTTTCTAAATTTAGCATTCTATAATGGGAAGTAGAGATCTTTAATTAATGGATTAGCAAATTCTTTGCAGTCACTGCCTATGGTGAAGGGGGAGTAGGAGAATAGCACTAAGTGGCAATAGTGGCATTTTGGTATTTTAGGAGAAAAGAGTAAAGATGGTATGAGAATTTGAGATTGAGGGAATGTCAGAAAAGCTAAAGAGAAATCAAAGGAAATTGAAATGACCAAAGTTAGAATTTCTTAGGTAGGAATAATTCTTTTTAATATAAAGGACTGCTTTGGTTGCCTATGGATAGTTATATGATTATTAGGCTCTAAAAACTTAGGATTAAAGAGAAAACAAAAATGACGCAAATCTGTGGATGTTAATACAGTTGTAGAACTTAAAACAAGTACAGATGGTTTATGTTTCTAATTGGGATGAAGTTAACGTGATACTGAAGAATTGGTGATAGTAGTTGTTTCTGCCTGCTTTTGATTCTCTTCTGGTTTCATTTTCTCTTTTATTCTATTTTCTTTTCTTCCTATCCTGGCCATTTCCGTCTCTGGCCCCTGGGATTTCTCCGGCTTTTCTCCCATCCTCATCGTCTGTTGTCTTCTTACTCATTGTCCAGTTCTATTGCCTTTTTCACATTGTCTTCTACTGTTCACTCGGTTCTGTCTCCCTGGGTCCTAGGGCTTCCCATTACTCTCCTCCCTCTACCTGTATCCTGTCCTTTGTGCTATTATTCTCATACATTTTACTTTTACATAAGGTATAAATCCCACAATAATGCATTGCCATAATTTTGCTTAAAGAGGCAATTATTTTTTAAAGAAATTAAAAAATGTCTTTTATATTTACCTTTTCTGGCTCTTAATATTTCCTCATTCTGGCTAGGAAATTGTGAGGCAGGAGACCATTCTTTGTTGGTCAGTTGACTTTATGTCTTTGAGTGCTTTCTATAATGTCAGCTCTGTAATTACGTTCTATCTCAGGACTGATCATTAGCATTTTAAGGCCATTGATAGGTTGAGAGGAGGTATATATGAGTGTCATTTGTGAGGCCTGGATGACTGCTTGCTCTTGAGACATAGGGATTTGTGCTAGAGCTCTCTGCCAAGTGAGGTTAGCTCCTTTTCCTATACAGACTGGATAAGCCATCCTGGAACCCGGGCTCTATGTGTTCATATATGGAGTGTACAGTGAGATGTAGAGCAGCAGGTGTTAAGGAAAGCTGCAAAATACTACACTACATCTGATGCATCAGAGCCCATAATAATGTATAATGTTGCAATCAGTGAATATAAATGTAGCTGTGGTAGATCCACCTACTCCTTGGCTGGTACTACCCCTCATATGTCGGTGTGCCCATGTTTTCCCTCTTTCTTTGCCTTCTAGACTTATGGATTTGAGGGAGGTGTGTGAAACTCATCATGGCAAATATGTTTATGTGTATAGATGCTTGCCCGTACATGTGCTGCAAACTTTCATGGAATTTTACTTACAAATATTACTGGTAAGGCATATGTTGTTAGATCAGACGCATAAAAGTCCTTGGGTGTCAAGGAAGCAGTCAGCTAGGGTCCAAATGCCTTTTGTCATTTGGAATGTGGATGTTTAGTATCACTGCACTTTGGTGATTTTTATTCCTGTGCTGTTGACTACAGTAGCTTTTTGTTATTGGAGAGGTAGCCAGAGGTTCACCTCCAGATTCCTTTACAGAATTCCCAGGCTTGGTCTAATGGAGGAGGAAAAGCCACCTGTGTCAGCTGGGGGTTTAACCCTATCTGATATATTGGTTTTATCGATACAAGCCCTGACCTACTCCCTGGCACCACTGTCTGTTTATGATACCTGTCACCATGGTATCTGAGTAAGCGGGGAAATATATTTAGGCTAACTTTAACTAAAATATGGAAAGGAAGAAATCTTGTATCTATCTTTGCCCTCTTTTCAGCAATCACTATTTTTCACTAAGTTATGGAAAGTTCAAAAGCTCTTTTGACCTCTAGACTACCCAGTTCTTTTACTTTGAGTAAAAGATTAGGTGTTAAAACTCTCTTCTGATAGAGATAGAAAACAGAGTTTTAGGCTAAGATTCTAGTAAAATAGTTGTTTTTACCTCTGAGAATATAATGCACTTGATCTTAGCCAAAAGGCCGAGAAGTGATGAGAATATAATGAAAGAAAGATTTTTATGTCCAGAAAAACATCTATTTGTACATACATATTACAGTTTCAGAGGTAATTTTATGTAAATTTCAAAGAATTCACGGATCCTCTGAAAGCCTATCCATGATCCTGTTAATAATCTCTGTCTTAATTTTAGGTTCCATGGACTCCTAATTAATTGTTTTCACAGAACATCATAGTATCTGATTAAATATTTTTTCTGTATTTACTGATCATACTGCATTCTCCTGGGAATTTTAGCTTAGCAGTCTCCTTTCTGAACTTCTTCAGGCTAAAGACCATTTGGTCACTGTGTTTTATTTCCTGTGTCTTCCTATAGCACTTGGAGCTTCTATTTTAGCATATCACATTGTTTTGCTTTGTTGGCATATGTCTGTATAAAGATTTGCTTGCATACCTGTCTTTCTCTTTAAAAAGTTCCTGGAGGGCAGGGCCTGTGTTTTAATGATTGTTTTATCTCTAGCACACCATTTGGCTTATGACAGGGACTCAGAAGACATTTGAAAGAATAAATAAATGGATGAATGGATATGTAGAACTTCTATTAATGATAAATTAACATTCTCTCAAAGAAAGACAGTGTTGTGTTTGGGCCTTAAAGTAACAACAGCAATAATAATAGAACCCAGTAGGATGTTTGTTGTCATGTTTCTGTTGACTCCATCACTTTTTAATTTGAGTTATTGATGTGAAAGAGAATGGTGGGTAATTTCTCTTCCTTTTGTCTCTTTCTTCCTTACCCACAGATACATGGAATGCTTTTAACCAAGTAAAAATGGAAACTGATCATTTCTAAGCCATTAACCAAAGAATGAGCACAATGTTTAGAGAGAACCATGCAGTCGTTGGAGAGGGAAATCTTGAACACAGCTTCATGGAGTCAGCTTATTTTACTTCCACTGCAGGAGAAAGGGCATTGGGGAGGCAGCCTGCATTTAAACAGTATAGCTTTCCACAGTCTGAAAACATGGATGGATTTAAAGGCAGATTTATACCGGCATTTTATATTCAGCATTCATCTATGGATCACAGTCTTCCTTACTCTTTTACTCTGCCGCATCCCTGGGTGATAATTCATTATTTTTATCACCATTTGTTGAGGAAGGAAGTGGAGCTATAGAACAGTAAATGACTTGCTAAGGATCATGGAACCAGACACTAAACAGAGTCATGATTAGAACTTAAGAGTTCCTGACTCCTATGCTCAGACTCAGATCACTAGGCAACATTTGCCTCCCTGCAGGAAGAAAGGCCTCCAAAGCCCCCAAAACAATCTGTTCAGCTTCATTGTGCTAAATAGCATCCAAAGCATTCACAGCTTTGTGAAAAAGAAATTGTTCATGGTCTGACCTTTCAGATGCCTACTGGGAAAAATGGAAAACCCAGAGAATGTCACAGCTTTCTGGATCCAGCTGGCTTTGTCATCACTGGCAGAATCCTATGACTTCATGGTTTAGGGACACAGTGAGATTGGGAATTGTGAGCCTTTCGTTGGACGCTTATTACACTGTAGGTGTTGTCATGCAGGACTGAACATTTTCAAGAGGAGTGACCGGAAAGCCGTAGATTGATCTGGCACTTCTTGTATAGGTTACAGCTTTGACGGTTTGGCAGCCCCTCCTGACTTTGAGAAGCTGTCCTTTGAACTTTTAATTGTCTGCTTTTTTTAGTTTAGTTTCTTTTTTAATTTTTTTTATGTTGATATAATTATAGACTCACAGGAAGTTGCAAAAATAGTGCAGAGAATTTTTGTACCCTTCACCCAGCTTCCTCCAATGGTGACATCTTATATAACTCTACAATATTGCTGCTTTAGTTCTGAAGAGGACATCCATGTGGGAAAGAACGTAGCAGTAAACAGCTAGAGTAGATGGGAAGAGGAATTTT